TGTGAAAAACAGTTCTCATAAGAATGATGCAAAAGTTAGTATTCATTCATAAAGAAAATGAAATGCCCATGATAATTATGTATTTAAATTACAAATCCGGGAAAGACTAAAATTAAGACAGTCAAGAGCTATAAAACCCGGTGAAAAATATTATAAATATTGAGGAATATAATGTTAAAGAGTTGGAGATTTATGAGCGTCCTATTCCCCCAACCACCGATAACTGCCCTGACTGTAGTGCAAGCTTGTACAAGTTCACACTAAAGCTCTTTTGTACAAGATTTTCCACAAACTCCCATTTTGGTGATTGGCCAGTTACATATTTTACTCTCCATAATCCTTATGATGCACAACTCTGGTTAACATGGACGTAAAAGATATATGCAATATGGAATAAAAAAAGTACAAATCACTGCAAATCAAACTGTAAATATATAGAAGCGTTGTTGTCGTTACATTAAACTGCTTTTTTATTAAGTCATAATAATCTTAGTTCAAAGCACATGCGCAAACATCTGTGCAGAACATTTCCATTATGAATTGGCCCCTTTTTTAGCAATTTTTAAAGTAATTTTTCTTCACGCTCCACTTCTTTAAAAAACGATGTAACAAATATCCATTTATTTGATACCGCTGTTATCTGAGATAAAATATTTTGATCAAATCAAAGGGAATTCATTTAACAATTTTTTGGAACGACTTTAACAACACTACATTGCTTAATAAAATCCTTAAAAGTCATTGCACTGATTGAGAACTCTACTCTGTGAGAATCCAGTTTCCCAATCATTTATATGCTCAAAATAGGCATCCACAACTCGTTCAGCCAACAATGGACTTTCATCCCATGACCGCAAAATATTATGAAGCACTTTGCTATCCAAGTTTAACGCATTCACCAACCATCTCTGCATAAGCTTTTTCTCTACGCTAAGCTGAAAATGATAAAAATTGTCCAAAGATTAGAAAAATAAAATCCTACCTCAAGGTAGCAGAACATTCGCTTTTATTTACATATTTTTTTAGTAAATATAGTTACCAAAGAAACAAGTGAATCTCAAACTATCAAAAAGCAGATTTGCAATGTGGATCTCTTTAATCGATCTAATAGGTCTTTCATTCATTAATGAATATGAAGTTTTAATAAGCATCTTAAAAATGAGATAACGGTGAATTAGTCACAGAACCGATAGACCTAATGAAAGCTTTTGTTGTAGCTCTGAAATGTTAACATGTTAGTAGCTCTCAGAACCAATTTTCTTACTTCCTCCTTCAGGCAAATAATGCAACTTAAAGAATATTCCCTAACCAGATGAGCATGCTTATAAATCCATAGACGGAATGTTATAATGAACATACTGGATTTGTTATTTCTTCTTCAGACTGAGAATAGCTATTGAGCTGGTCGTAATAAGCATTCAGTACGACCTCCTTCTCAAGAGTACCATGGAATGATGACAGAAAGTCGTGGAAGGATTTTCTATCCATTTTCACTTCATCAGTTAATGTTTTCCACAAATGTGTTTTCGACTCAGCATACTATAATAATTTTTCACTATGAAAAAGTAATGTGAAAAGTAAGTGCGAAATTTTTTATATTCTTACCAGGAAAAACTACAGATATTACTTCTGAATAAAAGAACTGACTTTGTCATCCTTGAATAATCTTTCTCCTTTTTTATGTGCTATCCACATTTCCAAATATGATGGATTAGTAACTTCAGTGAGGGATTCCTTATAAGCTGCATTTTCTTCTATTATGACAGACTAAAATGTTTAAAAATTAAACAGAAAGAAAAAATGTGGAATTACTGCATGAAAATACAACTGAAGTGACACAAGAAAAAAAATTATGTAATGCTGTGGATAATATCTAATTACGCTTAAAGATCTGTGGGAATTAGCTAAACAATATCTTTATTTCGATATTTCTTAACTGAAATGCTCTTAATGACACTATAATATGCTAATATGAAAAAAAGACTTGAGGAACCGAAATTAAAACTCTGTCAACATTAGTAAAGAAAAGAAATATGTGTGTCTTACAGAGGACTTGCTTCCATTGCTTTTCGAATTTCTGTCACTTGTGCTTTCATGAACGAAAAGAGGAACTGAAGAATCAAAACTATGCAAATTATTCTTAGTTTGCATGTACGCATCACTACATCGTCCTTGTAACTGGTACTATAAATTTAATGATTAATAACAGCTTTAATGTGAATTAAAGGATATATAAGGTATGGTTCGAGACAAAGTGACTATCTACTTGATATCGAACTGATATAATTGATATAAGCGCACGTTTTGCGATTGTAATATTTCTTAATTATCAAACAAAAGGCGACACCAGATACTAACAAAACTAAAGTTAGCTAAGGAAGAATTAAGAAAAATTACCTCCAGCTCTTGCTTCTCAGCAGTATTACGCCAATAAAACAAAGCTTTTATACTTTCATATTCTGCAATTCCGTCTTCTTCACCTCTCACTATTTTATCATATACGCCATTAGGGAAGGAAGTTTTAACTGGCTTGTTGCATAGCATATACTTAGACAACCGTTCTACTGCAATAACGTTGCCATTTAAAAAATAGCCATATAAATCAAAGTAATCTATTTTCGATTGAAATCCAATCATCAAAAAGTTGCAGGTCTAAGATTACAGGAATATCAGGATCACTTGTATGAATGAGCAGTTGTAACTTGAAACAAACCTTTGACAAACTTATATTGCGCCTCAGCTAATCTGTAGATTTCATCTATACGTTCAAGTACTTTCATTCTGCGTTCTTCCGACCATTTTTCATTTTCGACCAGGTCATAATCATCGTCCTCTGGCAAACTATAAAACTGTTCTGAAACTAATAACGAATGAACTAGCAAATACGAACATTTGAATAAATTTGAATAAACATTTGAAGCATCATTTGAATAAATAACTTTTGGTAATCATTACCGTAGATCTTAAATAGTGTCACAAATTTGACGGAAATAACTAAATTAGTATTAGTAAACTGAAGATACCAACATACTATAAGCAGTATATGGGTATTTAACCGATAAATTTAGCAATTTTAATTGATTTATTATTTAGTAATTTTTTTTAGTGAATAAAATGATATTTACAATATTAACACTAAATTAGCATATAATGATTGTTGCATTTGATAATGGTATGCAATGAGAGCTTCATTTTAGCATACTAATACCGTTAATTTAGTAGACTGATTATTTCAAATGATAACTGGAGCTCATTATATATATATATATATATAACTTAAAAATTTTTATTGTTCTGAATCTTAAAAAGATGCGACTAATATCATGCTATATAAATAACGATAAAATTACCAAACGCGTAATTCACACACATAAAATCTCCTGCGTAAAACTTGTCACCTTCCGCATTTGTGAAAAACATTGGCTTTTTCATATTACTGATAAATGCTAAGTTTATATTACGTGAACGTACTTGATGCAGCTGTGGAAAACATGCTAAATGGTCTCGAAATTTATCCTGAAATAAATATTATTCAGCAAATACAGATGAGTTATGAAGGTGCCCTGTATGAAAATAAAGCAAAACTACCTTTAATATTCAATTAAATGCGAAAAAAAGGATGTAAAGCCATTCAACAAAGAATACCAAACCTCAATCATCTAGTTTTCTGTTAACCTCAATCAGTCTTCAATTAATGGCAATTACTATTAATGACTAAGAAATATAAATCTAAAACGCGCAAAATCACCTTTGTAATAACAGAACCGCAAGCATCCCTTGCAACTGTAAGGGCAACCAGATCATCATGCATCATATGAGGCACCAATATTAGCAACTTTAAAGCACGAAGATCCTTAATGAACTGAATATTGAAGAACTCATACACAGAACATTGCCCAATGACTATATGAAATGCATTATTAACTACTTCTGGGAAGGCGAAAAATTACTATGAAAAGGTGAACAATCTAAAAAACATGCCTTCCAAATATGAAAATTCTTATAGCACTTTTTGTAGATGCAAAGTTCAGGCATAACAACTTCGACCGCATGTCCTCTTCTGACAAAATACCGGATAACTGGTAATAGCGACAAACAATCTAACTGTTTTCTGTAATTTTAGTGGTATCTGAACAACGAGTGAAGCGGAGTAAGTATAGACTAATAGCTGATAAATGTGAACTATGTGTTTCACTCAATTTAAGTTACTGTTGGCGATATTCTGCGTTTAAAAAAGAGCAAGACAACCGCACGTCAAAAAAAAAAAAATGATATACTAAACCGCAGTAGAGTATTGAAGAAGACCACTTTCCTTCTGGAAATAAACAATTAAGATACTTGAATGAGTTCAATGACGAAAAAAGGTGAAAGATAATTAGAGGTTACTTCGTTTTCTACTTTCGTAGTCATTTTCTACCAAATATGTAAGGCAACATGCAAGTAATAAAAGGAAACGAAAAAAAAAAAAACACATACTGGGTTCGGCCAGCATGATTTGTTCTCATGTGCATAACATTCATGGCATCAATAATAAGTAAACGTTTAGCTGAGTGTTGGGTTACCTTCCGAAATGAAGGAGCATTGTCTGGAAAGGATCGTGAAATAAAACTACTTCACTCATCGCAACTATTAACAATACATTTCTGCTAAAAGTGAAGGGAGTAACATGGTGAAAACATGTATTGTCCACTCTTCCAAACACTTATCCCTCACATTTCTTTTTAAAGTGGAAAGGATTACCTGCTAAGTATTCTTCAGAACACCGTTCTTCTGATTCGTCAACTTCAACATCCTTGCCATACTGTCTCCAACGTTCAGTCCTGAATTGCATACTTCACTCTTAAAACTCTACCTGGATGTCACGGAGTATTTGCGGTCCGTTACTTCGAACCGATACGTGGACGAATAAATAGACGTAATTTTACTATTTGTGGACGTCAGTTTGTTTTGTGGTGCTAGCGTGAAGCATTTCAAGGTGATGGTATTATTGTGCTGACAATATGATAGCAGATGAGGACTTCTTATTCCAAAATCTCCAGTGTTCTGCGATATGCCTTGCAAAGATGAAAAATGTTGGTGATATTTTCACTAAGTTCAGTCGATATGAATAAATGAACTCAATAATTTTAAGTAACTTTTCTTATTATTAATCTTCCAGTAATAGTTTCAGATTTCCATTCTTTATTTTTCAAATTCATAGAAAAGCTGACAGAAGGATAAAAAAACATTTTACTGTCTTTATATGATTCAAAAAGGTTATAATAGTTTCCTCTCTGTAAAATGTGAAAAGATAACCCAGACTCAATTAAACAGAGGAACGTTTTATCAATCTGGTGTTGAATATTAGGTGACCATTACAAATGGATTCAACTGGAATTGGATTTGTGATAAGCCATAATTGATCTTTCGAAGATATTTCGATAATAAAGAAATAGGGTTTATGGAACTTGAATCATTATATTTCTGGTTCACTTTATATAAATCGTAAGTACTGCTAGTTGCTTGAAACATCTTGGAAGGGATTAGTTTGGTAGTAAAAAAGTATTGCAACAATATAACGTTTTTACAAAATTTTTAGGTACCAGTGAAGAAAGTATTGAAGACTTTACTTGATGGCGTAGACGGAAGTGAGAAACCGTTAAATTATAATGCTCGAGCGAAATTGCTTGCAGTTGGAATCTATTTACTGTATGCCGAAGGACGAGTATGCTATACTGATTGGCTTCATTAAATTAGATATACCAAGAATTATAATATTTTACTTTTCATTATTTCACTCCGTTTTTTAGCATTTGAATGATTTACTTCCAATTCTTTTGGGAATTTATCGAAGTTTGCCGCGATTAAAGTGGATTGATGATGGTATCTCGAATCGACAAGATAGTATGTATTATTGATTTACTTGTGTCACTTTGATAACAAGTATTGGTTTAAGTACAATTAAAGTAATAGTGATGTAAGCATACTGCAGTAATTACTTATACCAGGTAACTCGTACCTTTTTCTGTCAGCCACGTTTTTCCAGAATTTTTTCGCTTCCATCTCTATGATCTTGAATAAGTGACAAAATCTTTATCATACGCCGTGCAGTTTCTCACCTTAATATTTTGACCTTAAATTCACACAGTTATCGTTCTCAGCTTCTGTCGTCTATCGCGTCTTTTTTGTTAAGAAACAGTGGTTTAACACTATGAAAGAAACAGTAGCAAGTAAGTTTCCATCGTATGTTTCAACTATCTAATTCATTCCATTCGCATTCCATTGGATAAAGATATTAAATACTCACCAAAATCTGTTAAATTTTTTTGAAAAGCTGATGTATATTTCTTGGCTTAGTCAAAAATTACAAAAGAATTCGTTATACGAAGAGTTACCAGTCAGTTTCTAGAATACCTTCTCATTTAAATAACCATATCATTATTTCCTGAGTAATTTTCCGAACCGATAAATCAAAAAAATTATGCTTTTCGAAAAGTTATGAGCTTTTTTTTTTTGGATGCTAATAGACAATTATTCTCTCTGCAGTGCTGTGGATTCTTAAGTTACTGGCACTAACGAATAATAAGTTGAGGAGCAGCTGAATATGTAATAATTGCCAAACATTTCCTTAAAAGCTGTAAATCTTTAATCTGATTTTATTAAATATTCTCAAAAGCATTTAAATTAGAAGCTTCTAATTGTCCTCTAAGTTATAGTCAATCTTAAATTTGTTCAGGCGAACTTTGCATATGGAAATTGTGGGTTAACTTAACCTCAGGAAAAATAAGCTCTCATTCACGTAAATGAGAGCACGTAAAGTGAACTAAGACCGAGTTCGTGTAATTTTTAGAAAGCTGTTCTGCTACTTTCTGTAGCTAGTTGTTACATTCCCATTATTTTTCAAATTAAACTGCAAATTTAATCATTACGTGAGTGTATAAATTATGAAAACTGACAGATTTTTCAGAAGTACCAATACAGGAGCAGTTTGCAATGTGTTTCAATACTGTTCTTAGTGAGCTTGCTTCAAATTATCCAGATGTACGTGATATTATTATCTCTGCACAAATAGAAGTTTTTACAGTCACTTCTGATATTATTGTAGATATCTGTGATCAGGTGCAACCACAATTCCAAACAAAATGTATGTATTTATTTTCTTTACAGCTGATCGAGTTACGTCTTATCAGTGTATCTGAGTATGAAAATTTGATATTAGGATGAAATTTATGATAATCTTGCGAAATTTGTTTTCTTGTTTTTCTTCATTTCGTTTTTTTATTTTCATTGATTTTTGTCCCAGTTTTTCCTGTTTATTAATTATTCAACATTGATTTCATGTACTTTTAGGCTACTTGATGCGGATTATTTGCTTTATGATTGGATTACTTCGCTCATTTGGACGATATAGCGGTGATAAGGATCACCCATTGATTTCGGCTATTTATCCTGTTCCATTCATAATCACCAAAATAGATGCACAGAGTAATCAGACAACTACATGTATTGGGTTTGTGACTTAGTCTATTTCTATGATATTCATCTCAAAACGTAAATCTAAATTCAAGAAATACTGTTTAGAGAGAGGACTCTTCGATTAACAACTGATTCCGAAAATTTCCTGTGGAGTGATGCTGCCAATACAGAAAAGCAAGATCAAAAGGAACGTTTGCAGAAAATGTTCTCCAAACATGCTAGTAGCTTTGTATTGCCTACGGTTTTCAACGGCAATATTCCATTCAAATTCACAATTGCAGAACTGAATTCATTCTCCGATATTGTTAGTTTGAATTTTTTAATGATGTTAAAGTGATATAGTTTTTAGTAGTTGTGGATTTTAAATTTTACGCTCTAATTTTATCAATCTGCAGATGGAACGGTTGTTGAGAAGACCACTACTGGATATCATGGATGCTTATGCTACCGATATATACATAGTAAATAAATTTTCTTTTTGTTTTACTCAACTTAATATCACTTCTCTTTTTTACCTTCTAATTTCTCTTACTTTTAAATTGAAAATGAAAATACATGCTCAGGCTGGACAGATCAAACGTTTTCCATATAAAACATTATCAGAATGTCTTTCACTGGTTTTCGTTACGGCTTATAGAGATGCTTATGCACCATATGATACGTTGAAGCTGGAAAAATCACTGGCTCAAAAACTTTCTCGAGAGGTTATTTCTGGAATGCTTCATATTGGATTAGCATTGACGATTTTTTAAAATTTGATCCTTTTCAAATTTAAGAACTTTTGCACATTATAATATTTATGTTGCTAACCGTTTTCAATGAATATGTGGATTGTAAATTTATAGGGACTAGATCAGTTTACTTCAGGTGAAAGCATTTGCTATAGAACTGTATTCGAAGGGCGAAGATTTTTTGAATGCGCAGAAATTAAACGATGATGAACGAACATTACGTTGTCCACTGTTGATTAATCGAATAAAAATGAGCGTTCTTTGCAGCTCAGTTTGCCTAGAACTCATGGTTTGGGCTACATACGATGAAATCGGTATTTATTTTCTTTTTTAGTAATCTACGAAATGTGTGCAGAAATAGCTTTTGCTAGGCAGTTTTGGTAAATAGCAAGAATGTTTATGCACAGAAGCTTTATCTTGAAAGTGTGATGTATGCTGGTCCACAATATCAAAAAACCTGACCAATTTGCATATTAGATGAAATTATATGAATTGCCCAGTTCTTAGTCACTCTACTAGAAAAAGCACTACACTGATTGAAAAGACTTCAAACGAAGTGCATTGATTAACGTTTTTAATTTGTTACTGATAGTTTATTTAAAGCAACTCTAAGTAATCGCAGAACTAGCTTGTGAAACTTCCATTTCACTAGGGTGTAGGTGATAAAAAAACTATTTTATTTTGTCATATGTGAGCGTAAGACTTGTAAATTAGTATTTAAGTCGTTTAGATTACAATAGGATATAAACATTCTGGAACCCGTTAGAAAAACGAAGTCTATGTTTACAGATGCAGAGTCACTTCATGCTACAATAGCTGATCGACTTTGGCATGTTCATGGTCATCGTCATGCATCAGCTAAAATATCTCTAACAATGATGGCTTTGGAAGCACTTGGCTCGCTTGCTGTTAAATTTCCAACAATTGCTGCAACACTGACAGTTAATAGTGTTAGTCAGTTCTTGGTTGAACCTTCGCCTGTTTTCTCAAAATTGGCTGTAGATCTCGGTGTAAGTTTTCTTTCGTATTTTATTGCTAATCGGATGGGTGCTATACTTTTTGTTTCTTTATGGATAAAAATGGAAACTTAACATTTTAGTACTCTAATGAAACATTAAAATATGTAATGAATATTTAGAAAATTCTTTCTTTTTATATATATGTAATGCGAATATAATTTTTTATATCGTTTTGGTCTTGTTGCAGGTTATGGAAAAGCGTGTTTTCAGTGAGGGAGATCGAAAGGATGGTGAAATGGTGAAAAAGAAGCTAACTTTTGAAAATTTAAGGAAAGTTGCAATAAACTCTCTTTGCAGGTATGTACTTAAAATATCTAGTTTGTTAAAAAAAAAAAAGTTCATCAATGAACTAATTTAATTTTCAGAGCACTAAGATCGGCTATGATAGTCGACAATTCATCTGTACAAGCCTGTCTAACAAATATCTCCTCCAAATTATTCCTGATTGCGAACAAAGACTCAAATTAGTACGATCAATACTCATTCAGTTCAAATTTTCTTCTTTTTATGGTCTATTTCTTCACCAATCTAAGTCCTTATCTTTATAGTTTCACTCCTTATCATATTTGCATTGATTTATAGAAGACAAATCTAAGCCTCTTACATTTAGTGGTTCTGCTCTCGCTTTGGAAAATGCAATGCACATTGTTGGTGGTATTGGTGCCGCGCTGGTTGATGTGGAAAATATCCCGCAACTTGCTTTCAGTGTATCTTTTTGTTTATTATCTATTCATATTTCAATGAAGTTCTGGATTGTAAGTGACGTACAAACCTCTCTTCCTTTTCAATCAAAACAACATGAGCACTTAAAATATACATTTCAATTTATAAATGTTCATCAGCTAATAGTGGATTTCTTTTGTCTTACGAATAATTTCAATGATAATGTATTTGTTGATAACGCCCTATCAAAAACTGGTACTTTCTCGAATTGAAGGGAACAAAAGTTGCTTTCAAATTCTATATTCATGATCTATAGGCTTTGCTATGTATTTTGAATGCATCTTTTTGCTACTATATAATGATGTATGAAGGCAAAACATAATATTTTAAACTGTAATTTTACAACGACTGATGTTTCGAATGAGACTGAGGAACGGTTGCTGTTTCAGGTTTTTCAACAGGCTTTTACTGAAACATCCACGAATCATGATGTTATTATAGCGGAATTGGCCAACATGTGGATAGCTGGCGCGGTATGTACATTTTTTATTGCTATCCAATTTCTATTAAATGATATTTTTGGTAAATTGTAGATTTTTTTTCCTTTTCAGCGTGATATACATGATCTGATTTGGCTGCTATTCACAAAAATAACGATTGAGTCGAGTAGTCGTGCTTATGATGCTGATACTGCTGATGGTGTGGAACATCGTTATGCGTAAGTTTAAATTTTGATGATATTGGATGTTGCGTAAAAGAAGATACTTATTTAAGGTATCTGTCCTTGGCAGTTGACAATGCAATGGCTAAGATGGCAGAGAGTGTGAATAACGATGAAGACAAAATGACACTGTTGTATCGCCTTTTGGAACTTTTTGTTCAACTGGGACATGAAGGAAGGAAGGCTGGTGAAAAATTGGCGAGGGTCATGAAGGTAATTTATTTTTACAAAAATTTGCTAAGTTTTTTAATATATGGATTAGTGATAATGAAATATTTCGGAATTTAAAAGCGTTAAGTCGTATACCTTTCAGGCAGTAGTTACTCATTTCTTCAAAACTATGTGAGATAGACTTAAGTGAAAAACTCCCTGAAAGTTATTTGAGGCACTAAAAGTTTCTTTCAGTTGGACGTGTCTTCAATTATGTATTTTTTTTTTTTTTTTGTCTTTTGAGGATAAGTTTATTCTGGAGGAATTGCTTCAATCATTTCTAGCTTTCAACTGGTGCTGGAAACTTAGGTGTTTTAATTCCGAAGATTGCTTCGTTGTTGCGCAGATCTGTGACAATAAAGAACCCATCAGTTCGGCTACGGAATTTGTTTCGCGACTTTTGGTTTTGCTGTACAGTGCTCGGATTTAATGTCGCCCGGATAGGTTGGTCCTTTTATAAAACATTAACTTCTGTTAAATTCCTGTTCAGTAAATAAGTTTAATCAATGAGTGAAGTGTTGCTACATTCTTATTCCATCATATGTTTCGTAGTTTTACTCATCTGAAAAAAAAAATACTGATTAAATTTAGGTCTTTGGCCAGAAGAGTGGTTTGAAGCTGCTTGCGAGATTGCTTGTAAATCGCCCATACTCACACCTCAAGAGAGTTTGCGTGCTGAGCTCGTTGCAAATGCTACGATCAAAAGCGGCAATGTGCTATCAGTCGGTTTCAAGTGTAATTCGGTGTTGTTAGAGTTGTCAGTAGTGTTTTCGTTTTATGCAAGAGCATGAAAAGTTGATGAATAATATGTGGGTTAAATAATCGAGAACACACATTCTCTATTCTCAGATTTAAATGAAAAACCGATGAGTTATGCAATAGAAAAAATTTTGTTACTCACTACTATATATTGATTCTGCTAATGGAGGAGACTGGTCATTCTTACCGAATATGAAAATTTTGAAATATCAGATGGATGTACCTTTTTTTTATTTTCAGGCAGAACTGCAGGAAATCAGAGTAACTATTTTGTCTGAAATTTCTCCTTCTCCCGAGGTAACAGCAGTTGTTAATAAATTGGAATTTACCCACTGTATTTATCTTTTATCAGTATTCCGCATGGAACTCATGCGTGCTTTGCATTCTGTTGAACCGGGAGCAGTCCATTCAATATTTCAATATCTCGAAGACAAGTAATTATGATATTTCATCATCACTTTTATACCGCCTTCTGGCACTACATTCATCCAAGTTGTTCTTGAAATTATTAGATTAATTAGTAAAATTACCGACAACAGTAGTTATTAGTTTTATCACGACATATTATCAATGTTAGAGTGGACGCTGACAAGAGCAGACATGATGTGACTAATTTTTTTGAGATCTATAAGAAAAGACAAGGATGGGATCTGGACATGCCTTCTTGCAGCAGCGAGAACCATCTTCAGTAAATATTTGAAAGTCGCCAGTGAACGGAATTTAGATTCGGCTCACGAACGTCAACTTGAATTGCATGCTCAGTTTCTGCTTATCATGTTCAATCATCATCTGAAAGAGGCAAATATATTTGAGGAAATTTTGTTATATAGAAATACTATAAGGAAATTTTATTGCAAATGGCAAATTTAGACTTGTTCTATAGGAAAAATTGCAGGTGAGGAAATGTGCAGATACTTGCCTTACCAATTTGATCGGAAGCTTTCCGCATTTGCTTTGGAATGGCAACGTTATTAATGTTGCACTGCAAATACTGGAAGCACTTTCAAATAATCTTGAAAATGACACCGATTGCAAAATAATGACTTTATCTTTTCCGTCTCTGCAGCGGACTATACAACTTCAGGTATTTTGTCAATAATATATATCATTTCTTATTCCGGAAGACCAAAATTTGGACTTGCATTCTTGAAAAGACTTTGTAGTACTTTAATTTTTATTAAGTTCTTAAGAAACCCAAATATGACTTAAGGATACTTTGGATCGGAGGAAATTAGTAGTGCAAGATTTCGCTTTGCGTTGTGAACAAATTCTTCAGGAAGCAATCAAATGGGCACCAGGCAGCACTCGAAGCTGCTTCGTTGTAACTTTTATTATATATAAAGTTTGATTCTTATTTATTGATAGTCGTTCCAGAGTCGCGGAATCAAAACTATCAGTGTTTTTGAAAACACTTCAGAAAATTCCGCCGTTTTTATCACGAAATATGTTGACATTTGAAAATTTATTTTAAGGATCAAAAATTAATGATGTTATCTTTAAGAAATATATTGCAAGCATTAATGTTGGTTGTTCTGGCAGTTTTCGTTTGACGGTGGAAGCTATACTGAAAAGTTTAAACGACGCGTCTGGCTGTACAAATGATACCAGTCCATCGCTTTATCTTTCTGCTCTACATTTAAGGTCTTTGTATTTTGGCAAGGTGAAATTTCGCAGTTCTAGGTTTTTATTGTTTTGAATTCAATTAAGCGTTTTCTCTTCCTAATAAAATTTTCACTTGTGAGTTTAGGTGAAAGGCATGATAGAAGCATCTAAAAATGAAGAAGAGACCAAACCACATGAACGACTTGCTGATTTATTTGAGCAGCAACTAGAAAGAGCTTGTGCAGATGGAGCAGATGGATGTGATGAAGATATTATATCCGAAGGCATATTGAGATTAGCAGCTCTTTTCATTTTAACGAAAGAAGTTTCTAATCAAAGTAATCATTTCACTTGTATTTGTGAGACAATTTATACACTGAAATATTGTTTATAGTGAATCTGTTATGAATTTCATCTTCTAATACTTATAAGATTCTAGAATTATGAAGAAAAAGTTTTTAGGATGCCTCACATATATAAACTGTTCTTTTATTAAATGTTCCTTATCCCATGTACGGGATCGATTTCCAGATCTAATTTAACTGTTGAAATTAGTTTTTGTGATCTTATGGTCTTTTATTTAATTTGATATTAAGACAACTTTTGTTCCTATAGTTTCAAAAGAAGTCTGTTGTAGAACTGGATAGCCGTCTATTACATACTCTTGTTTTTGCACCACTCAAAAATTTTACTGCTTCAACAATGCGTCTTTGTGTAATCGTATGGAACTGGATTCTTGTTGCCCGAGAAGATATCCAGCTTCAAGTAAGAACTTTTCTATTTCAAATAAACTTGTTTTACTGCTATCAGATAAAATTAACTTGGATTTAGTTTCTTCGAGAAATGGCAGCATGCTGGACAATTACAGCACAAGATCATCTAGGTATCTTCCAGCGTGACCCAGAAGTTGTTTCTCCTTTGAGTCTGCAATATTGCTCACCTCCAAAACGACCTCATATTCTTCCACACAGTATATGGATTTATGTATGTTTAACTTTCTAAAAGATGTATATAATTAATAGCTACCCGTAGGAAGTTGGCAGTCTTAATTGTTAGCAGAAATGATTTGTAATGAATGGAGTTAACTAAATATGTATTTGAATATATTAATGACACTGCAAGGTTTTCTTGGATTTGGTCATGTTATTTTAAAACTTTTAGTTTTTGGTGGAAAGAGTGGATATTGCCAAATATTCAAGCAGAGAACAACTGGACATTCTGGAATTGATGTTTGTTCAAACACTTCCATTGAATGTGGGTCGCCTAAGAATAGATGTTAATTCACCGTTATACATTTCTTCCGATTCGAGTCTTTGCAAAGTCGATTTAACGCATGGTTATCTTTTGTATGTTTTATGTAGTTTTGTGCCTAGGGAAAAGTAACTCGTGATATCAACTCTCTGCAATCGAAAGATTCTAAATAGAACAAAATACATGTTCGTTTTTCTTTGTTATATCTTCTGTTTCAGAAAGAGTTATATTGCATTCCAGTGTGGGTGTATCATGTTTCAATTTGATTTTTTTCCTAAAACGGTTCAAATTTTCTTGTTTTCCAGTTACAATGACAAGAAATGTTGAGACGATTGGGTTACGATGTCATTTTCTTAACTGTGTGCTTTCTATGATACAGCGTGACTCGATGTCATTCCATATTTCCAAAAATATTTTACGACAACGTGTATATTGTGCTATGTTGGATTACTTTTCGTATGTTATTCTATTTTACAAATTCTCTGAATTACAAATGTTAAAAATTTTCCATATTTTTTATCTGGTTGTAGTGTTGCTGCTCAAACTCCAACACAGAACGCAGCACAATTGAAGAATGATATACGCTTGCTGATTATATTTTGGAACACGCTTTTCTCTGATGTGAAATATATCAAGAAAGAAATATTTGCCAGTATTGGTAAACAGTTTCTTCATTTTTTTTCTTCCTTTTTTTTTCTTTTTTTTTTTAATAATCACGCTTGTTGTATATTGTAGATACCGAATTCAACTTGGAGTCTCTTCAGCAAATTTTAAACGATAACTATAAGTCTGACTCGGAATACAAGTGGGTTTTGTGTTCTACATGCAACTCAGTATTTTTGGCTAAATTTTCTCTGCATTAAAGCTGTAACTTGGTAATCACATTTATGTATTTAGTCGCGCTGATATGCAAACTCGTCATGCAATGACAACCAGTGGTTGCAATTGGGTAACACTTGTAGCTGCACAAGGTAGAGCTAGTTCATTGCAGAAGAATACGCAAATCACTGTTGGTCAGGCTTTGTTTTTTTCTTTATGTTTAGAGGATCCAGATTTTGGTTGCAAAGTCATATTTATCTATGAAATAATTAAATATGAGCATTTATAAAATGACACATATGTATTTAATGAATAATTGATGGAATGGAAAATGTACAAGATTTGGAGCGTGTTATTTAGTTCTGGATTATAAATTATAAAGATTTGCGTGGGAACAAAAATTTTTTTTGGTTTGGTTTGTAGTGAGCAAAGTCAGTAAACGAAGTCAGTAGAAGGCAATGACAATACTTTTTGCAACAATTCATACTTAATTTACAGCTATTTTGGCACATCGAATTAAAGCTTGAGTAGAGCTCATTCTCACAGAGTTTTTAAAAAAGTCGATCAGGTGGTAGTGGGAAAATTTCGAAATAAAATTGTGAATTTCTTCAAAGGAAGGTACATCTCCCCTGGAATTCCGGTTGAGTCCAGTACTTGTCTCTGCAATTTTAAATGTAGAATTTAATACTACAGTTATAATTTGTAGAAATATAGTGATAGATTTTGTACATTATTTTTTTCAGTCACTTCTCTTCCTTGTTTTTCAGATCCCAGTCGATCCAATCCAAATAAACATGCAGAACAGCAGATGAAACTGTACAATCGATATCGGAATTTGATTTTGATATTTGTTGTAGGCATTTCAGTTGATATCAATTACTTATGCGCATCTGTTTTATTTCAGTTGTATTTTCAATCAACGTTTCAGGCGAATGAAATCGAACGCCTAAGCGCATGGTTAAATCCGCTGGGTGAAGCTCTTGGTTTGGAAGATGCAAGTATTGAACAATGGCGAAAATCAACATTCCCTGATGCGAGAACAGAGGCTAAACTTCTCCGTGAAAACGCCAGAATTGCTTGGCAGATTTGCCCCGATTTGGCTGTATATATGCCATCAAGGTAAGTAATCTGATAGGATGTTAATTATCTTTCTGAAACTGTGTTTCGAATTATTTTATTTGAAGAACATGGTAACAAACATCTATTTTTCATGTTTTTCTTTAATTTCTTCCCAGATTTCGTTCGTGCTCTGCTTGTCAAATGGCCGTACAAGAATTGCTCGTAAACTCGCCAGAATTGGTGACGGATTTACCGGAAGCTCTTTCTTTAATGCTGGGAGAAGGAAGGATTCTTGAAGAAAAAGTGGAGGTAAATTCATAGTTTGAATAAGCTCACTGGTGAAGAGACCAAGATTACATATTTTTTGCTGAAAAAACCAACTTATTTTCTAGCAGTAATTAGTGGAATAAAGTCTCTAATTATGAAGATTTAAGTAAACAATGAGAATTGTTCAAAAAAATAGACAAAATAGGTAAACAGTTCTACGGTATAGTTCTGACAGTGATTTTAGAATTCCTTCATTTTCATTAGCTATGTCACGGAGAGTTTTGATACTGCGAATGTAATTATAGTGACTGTTTGGGCTTCGATATATAATTTATCAAAATTCAATTGTCTATTACCAATTCCTTCTTTATTATAAAGAGCAGAAATAAATAGAAGTAGTTTTTTCTCGTTATTTTTCAATTTCGAAATGCTGATATTCTTACAGGATTTGAAAACCTTAAGTCACATTTTAACATGGGCGATATGTGATCCAGTGATGGCTTTGTCGTTGCTCGGTCCACGCCAGTACCCAACACATCCCATTACAGTGCAGTATGCTGTACGTGTGCTGAGATCGTATCCACCAGATGTGCTTCTGCTCTATATTCCACAGCTTGTGCAAGCTTTACGACATGATACTGTATGAAAATTCTGAAAACTGTTTGAAACCAATCAAATTACCATATGTCATTCCACTTTTCAATGTAGCACAAACAGTTTCTAGATGGGTTATGTTGCTGAGCTAATTATGTGGTTGGCTGGTCATTCACAACTTTTGGCTCATCAGTTACTATGGAATATGAAGGCAAATATGTACCGGGACGAAGATTCAAGAGAAAAGGATCCAGATTTGCATGGACCTTTAAGCGAATTGATCAACAAAGTAATAACTCTTTAAATTTCTTCCTGTTTTTCTTATGTTTTGGTTATATTATTTTCAATTATTGCATTTAGATAATCTTAAATAAGTTTTCATATTTAGATAATATCAAATATGGAAGGTCCTGCACGAAAATTTTACGATAGCGAATTCGATTTATTCAAACACATCACTGATATATCAGGAAAAATAAGGCTGTTTCCAAAAGGCGAAGCTAGAAAAAAGGCTTGCTTAACTGCCCTCGCTGAGATACATCTAAAAACCGTGGCTTATCTGCCATCCAATCCAGAAGCCATAGTTCTTGATATAGACTATAAAAGTGGGACTCCGATGCAAAGGTGGGATTGCACATCATTTATGAATGAAAAGTATTTTTGGAAATTTCGAGAAACTTTCATAATTATTTTTAGTGCTGCTAAGGCGCCATTTCTCGCTCGATTCAAGGTTCTTCGTTGTGGTATTCAAAAATTAGAACAATTAGGAATCGCCGCACATCAGCGGAAACACATTCCTGAAGCAGATATTCGATTTCTTTCAAGATCGGAAGATAGTCTTGTTTGTTGGCAAGCAGCTATCTTTAAAGTTAGCATTTTTATTTATTTTCATTTGTGTTCTTGATTGGTATATTTTCCTCAATCGTGGTAATGGATGTATATAACTGATTTTATTTATTTTAAGATTATAAATGATCGTTACATATGCTTTACCTTAGGTTGGTGACGATGTACGTCAAGATATGTTGGCGCTACAACTGATGAACCTGATGCGTAACATTTTTAATTCTGTGAATTTGGACATTTGCTTATTTCCATACAGAGTGGTAGCTACTGGGCCTGGCTGTGGAGTAATTGAGTGTGTTCCAAATTCGAAATCAAGAGATCAGTTAGGACGACAGACTGATTTTGGTTAGTTTTTCTCTTTTCTCAAGCTGCTAGTGTTTTACTTTTGAAACTTGAATTTGGATTATAGGATTGTATGAATACTTTCTGACGACATATGGTGATGAAAATACTGAAACATTGCAACGTGCAAGGCGGAATTTCATTCGAAGCATGGCAGCATATAGTGTATTTAGTTTCTTGCTGCAGATTAAAGATCGACATAATGGAAATATTATGATTGATACCGATGGTCATATAGTTCATATTGGTTGGTCGTTTTTCAGTATTTCATTTCTTGAATACTTTTTATCTTTAAAAGATTTATACATCTTTTATTCTTTTGTTTTCGTCAGAGATAGTTTTTTAGATTTCGGTTTTATGTTTGAGAGCAGTCCTGGAGGAAATCTTGGATTTGAACCAGACTTTAAACTTTCGCAAGAAATGGTAGCAATTATGGGTGGCAAAATGGAAGCACCAAGCTTTCGACTATTTGCTTCACTTTGTGTCCAGGCATATCTGGCTGTTCGACCGTATTATAAAGTGCGCAATTCCCATCATTGTTTATAATTATTTCGAAGGATTTGTTTTGCATAGCATGTTCGAATCTACAGCGAGAACTTAATCTCGAAAATTTCATGTTTATTATATGAAAATTGCAGGCTTTTATTGCTTTAGTGTCACTGATGTTGGACACACATCTTCCCTGTTTCCGTGGTAAAACAATTCAGCAGTTTCGAGATCGTTTTGCACCACAACTATCCGATCGTGATGCAGCGAAGTATATGATGAGTATAATACGCAACTGTTTCCTGAACGTAAGAAGCAAAATGTATGATCAATTGCAATACATACAGAATGAGATACCGTATTAATTTATTAATATTTTGATGGTTGTTGGAAGTTTTGTATATATCCAGTAGATTTCCTTTCTGATAAAGTATATGAAGAATACTGAGTTCTTTTTTTCTTATGTGAAATCACTTGTTATATGATGTGCAGAATTTAAATATAATAAAATATCAGATTTATCTGAGAATCTGATCTCTCATCCGTTAGCGGTACACCTGTATGATGAAATGTAAAGCATTATCATCACACGGAAGGGTTATGACATCAGCAATTTAGCCATTTATCTTAGTGAACTGCTGGTTAGATATTAGATGAACTTTAAGTGTAATAAGTACACAAAAAGCGCTATATTTCTGAAGATGAAGAAAAGAATAAACGTCATCGTGGAAACTGCAGTTTAATGTCCCATATTAATGCTGCTAAATAGCTCCATTTCTTTTGTTTTGGTCAGTTTTTAAGGAGCTTAGTTGCAAAATTAATGGACTGAATGCGTCGGACAAGAAATATCAGTACTGAACTCAATATCCCGGACATTTCTGTCGGAGCAGAATGGTCCTAAGATGGAAGATCCTTCTTAAGTACGGTTAGTAATGAATCACTTAATCAAGTGAACAATGTGTATGTGATTGATGTGTTACAGGAATTAGAGATTTTTGTTCCAGTTAAAACCAATAATATTTTATCTGGAATTCCTAATTCGCGCATTTTAAGACAAACATCAAACGAATGTGGGCGGGCAATGGATCTGACTGATGGTCATCTTTGTAGACAAATTAAGTCTTTGTTACGTTTACTGTTTTCTGTTTTGAATAGCAATTTATATGATTTATTCTTTGAATGCAATACTGATTATCGGTATTGTTGTATAACTCATTATTTCTTGTAATTGGTCGCGTTATCTTCCTCTATAAGCAATCGCACTAACATTGCTTAATCCTTAGTGTTCTCTTAGTTGATCTCGTATTTCACGGGGCTCTACGTAATTGTGTGAATCCCTTTTATAAATTAAAGATGTCGAGGTCTACACTTCTCATGAACTGTTTCCTTCCAAATTTTTTTCCCTAAATTATTTCTATATTATTTTCTTTCAACTTATTTCATAATCCTCTCTAGTTCTCCTTTTATTTTCATTTTCATCTCAACTACAATCTTAGAATATTTGACAAATATAAATATATTACTTTATGTATATTACTTCACCAACTCAAGGAATCAACAATTAATGAATTTCGCAATGTAATAAAGGAGTTTCCATAGCCTTTTCCTGTCCTCATGAAATATCTTCTCACGTTTAATTTCCAGAACTTCAGCCAAGTTGATTTCCACTTAAACTTGAATCGATCCTCTTTTCCTACCTACATCGGTAACATTGAGGAAACTTACCATATTTATAAGATACACATTTTGCAACACTGAGTTAAATATTTTATAAATTAATCCATACTCAATGCTTACTCTGTCACAATGCTATTCATCGTCTCGACATCAATTCTTTACCTTAGACTGGATTAAAACAGAAACGGAAAAACGGAAACGATTCTATACTTCCGAAGTGGTTAGTGTGGCCAGCAATCCATCCCCTTTTAGCATTATTTTCTCTTGGCTCTTCTTCTCTAGCTCGATTTTCCTGAACTATTATTCTTATTGATGTGACACTTCAGTGATTAATCTATATATCACGGGAAAACTGGTTTTTGTGCACTTACTCCTCCGATATCAGAGCTAACCGATATCTTTTAAAATCCCGGAAATTCTGTGCTTTCTATGTTCATTTTTTATGGGTCCGGTTTTTCTTAGTAGGATTTAGCCTTCATCAAATGGTAACTAATTGAATATTGCAATAATCAACAAAAATCTAAATTGTTGATAATTATCCAATTGACTGTGACCCTTTAATCCGTCTGTGCATACCGCTCGTTCAACAAGTAACCTTCGACATGGATGAAGTCTTACTAACACAAGCTTATAATGTTAATAGGGCTGACCAAATATGAATGGACTGGTCAGTGTCTGTGTCTAAGTCATTTTATCCTTTCTTCACTTTTAAACTTATTATCTTTCCTACAGGCTTACAAAAATATTCTGGAAATTTCGTCTGTCATTTTCTTCTGGCAACTTTTTTTTTTTTTTCCAAAAAAGAAATGAGATGAAAATACTTGAGAGGAGTGCAAGGAAGGAATAGACAGATGGTTATTGCTGTGAAGCTTTCAATTCACAGAATGGAATCATAAGCGCCTGCCTATGAGAGTCAAGGTTGTAGTGAAAAAGTTTGTCCAAATAGCTGCAAACTCTTTATTCTTGTCAGCATCGATCGTCGCCTTCTCTATTCCTTTTCTTCCTTCCTTTTCCGTCCAACATTGTCATCCACAGCAGTTATGCACTAATCCTCCACATATTACTTCGAACTTTTTCTTAAAGTAAAGAAGCTAACCGGTGCCTTTTTAAATTACGGGCAGTGAAATGTTTATGATGATTGCACCGGGTATTGCTTAGAGGATACCAACCGTCGAGAATTTCTCAAATGTAGTGGGAACCTTTCTTGGTTTGGAGAATTATTCAATTTTTCCGCTTATATGTTTGAAGACTTCTAGAGTATGAGGACGTTTTCGATTATATTTTCGAATTTTTATAAATGATACCAGCAAAACTAATTCCTTTTCTCTAACTATGTAATCAGAAATCAGTTATTCGTCAACTGTTGGTTAGTATCATTAAATGGCTCATAAAATCTTTTCGTTGATGGCATCATGACTGTGTTACTAAGTGTTGTATTACAAGATATAAAGATATAGGACACGCCACACGTTTCGTAGTAATAATCTCGCCTGACTGTATCATTAGGTACTAGTGAAAGATGTTAAATGGACCGACCAGTAGAGATATCTACAAAAGGGACTATGTCATTTTTTGACACCATGAAAGGTATATTATCATTTATTGGATATCGTTCACTTATGCTATCCTGACAGAAATCTGAATATTTTAAAATGTGCAATAAGAACATTCATCTCTGTTTAGATTCACATCTAGCATTATATTTATTTCATTATCCTTCTGGGATAGTTAATGGCGTACTTAGAAATATCTGTTCGGTAGAGCTAATCGATATGGAATGAAAATTTGTGGAGGATAAGAATCTATTATGAGGATGGTGCATTTCCATTTTCCTCCAACTAACATTTTTTCTTTAGGAGAGCAAGATAATTTCAATCAAGCTGATGCACTTACAACTTCGCTTCTTTGTTTTTTATTTTGCGCATAATTTATTCCTTCATCTACTCCCGGAATATATGTGCACTCGGATGAAAGCCAGAGGACTTCATATTTGAAGGCTCAAATTTTTTCATACTCGAATTGCACTACCAGTCCAGAGATAGATTGGAGATGATTAGAGTTGTTATGGAGGGGAAATGAAGTGAAGCGTGCGTTTGCATGTAATTTTATATATGAAATTATTTGCAGTGCGGTTAGTGGACTGCAGGAGTGAATGCATCGTGCACGCATTCATATAGGCTCAGTGTTCATTCTTTAAAAAAAATTCCTTGAACCACTTTTAACTACACTTGAGTCATTCAAATATTAAGCGGAATTACTGCAAGACAATGGTGAAGTACCATCTGAACACAGTGTAGTTCATAACTGATTGTCCTTTTGATGGTGACAATCGTTCATTAGACTGTCCTTTTGTTCTTCAGAGCATTATTGACTTTTGCTCCTTTCTTATTCTTTTTCACTGGTACACTCGCTGAACTTGTCCTAAACTTCCCGAATTTTTTATAAATTTAAAGATTCACCTATTTTCTGTGTACGTGTGCGTGTGTGTGTGTTTGTGTGTGTGTGTGTGTGTATGTGTGTGTGTGTGTATGTGTATGTGTGTATGTGTATGTGGCAGAGAAATTGTGTGTTATAGAAAATTCATAAGTTTGCAATCCCATCGATTTCTTTTAATTTCAGACAAATACAAATTCCGATAAATTTGGCTGTTGTCCTTTCTTCTGATCAGTTCATACTGCAAGAGTTGCTGTTGATCAGTAGTCGGTCAGGAAACTTTCTTTTTGCATATTTCTCAGGATTGAAACATTGAGATTAAGATAATATATAAGAAGGTGAAATTAATACATGCAGTGGAAATAAATACTTTTGATATTAGTTTATTTGAGGACTTTTATTATGCATTTTGATTTCTCTGCTGGGAAAGAGAAATAACGTGATGACATCAATAACAACTGTCAACTGTTTGTGATTGCATTTTGATTGAGCTCAGAAGAGTTGTGAACCAGTTGTGGTTGTGTTGAAAGTTCTGGCAAGTTATGTATCATTTTTACCTTCTGGCTTGAGTGCCTACTTTAGTGAATATGCTAGAAAAGAGGTAAAGAGAGGCAGTGACATCCATCAATTCCTCCCTTTCAATTCATTTCTTCATTCAAGAATTCACTTATATCCATTAATTTCTTTCACTATTCTTTTCTCTTTCAATGCTTCTCTTCTCCTACAAATAACGCGACATCTTTTTGTCCCATCCATTCCACATTGTAATGCTTCGACCTTGGGCTTTTCAAATTTTTGATTAATTACTTTCCTTACCTTCCATGTTCGGTTATGCACACTTTTCAGTCACAGATGCACAAACACACATCTGCATACATATATATCCACATAGAAATTTGAATCATTTTCACCTCCCATTTTTCATTTTGTTAAAAACCTTTCAATAACCTCAATATTTGGAATCCACAATTCTTTTGAACAGTATGTTTTGTGCATCTAACAATTTGATTTTTTTTTTTTTTGTTACCTCTCTTCTGTATATTGAATTTTTCTTTGTGAGAGAAGTCATTAATTATGTAAATTAAGAGAATACCTTATGAAAACTCACCCAATCTCTCTTTCTCTCTCTTCCCCTGTCTCTCTCTACATGCGATATCCATTTGTATGCGTATAAAAAATGATTTTGTTATTTTTTTATCTCCTATTATTAGTAATAGAGACAAGATATTCTATATCATTAAATATCTTCTCTCAT